CTAGGTCTTCTAATAATTAAGACCGGCACTGATCGACAAAGAACATAAACTGAGACAGGTCAGCGAAAGCAGTGGCTGCTATATAGAATACTCTGCATGTGGATGTGTAAGACTTTCGCTGATTTCTGCAGCTTCGGATTCCCCTGGACTTGACATGTTATTACTACACCTTCCGAACTGAAAGTTTGAAATTTCGGACGTGTTTGGCAGTGTTTTAGATATTGGTAGAAACGTTTCGGGTCTAGAGATTTCCTTAAGAAATGTTTCTCTAGTGTTACACCTTCTCCAAATCCTATCTATTCCAACCCTAGTATCTGTTGTTCGACAACTTCTTGATGGAGTTTGTGGATGTTCTACGTGGCCTTACCAACCCTGTATAATCTTAGTTCGCCTTCAATTCCCGACGGGCTCACTCCTAGGAGGCATTCCAAGGTTTTTCTCCAAGGCAGATCGCCTAAGCCGGTTTTTCTTGACTCGCCACGATTCGATTTTTGAGTGGTCCGAGTGATCCTCTTGCAATTTGGGTGTGCTAGCTTTTTTGACGTGAAAACGATATTTGCGTCAACAATTTGTAATGGACGGAGTATATATGTGAACTCTAGACATGTGATGTGTAGAGAATAACCAAGTTTGTTTGCACATAAGTCATGCATGCTTTCACAATCGATATCTCCCTTCTACTTATATTACTACATGGACATATAATTCCGAGCAGCTCGTCAGAATCGACTGCCTGAAACTTCTCTGATGACGCATTCAACCATCGCCAAAAAGAAAGCCAGAAGTGATGATGGCAGGTATAAATAAATAAGATATAGCACCTGCGCATTCGATAAAAAAGTCCAATATTTTGGCCTGAAAGGGAATTCTTTTCTGCGTCCATAAGATATAAAATAATTGTGTTTAATACTGCAGGTTCCTAGACACTCCTCGTTAGCTAGCCCCTGTGACCTGAACCATCCTGTATACAGCAGTGGTCAGGCCCTGTTTAGATTCAAAAATTTTCATCTCAAAGTATCACATCGAATCTTGCTGCACATATATAGAGTACTAAATGTAGACGAAAAACAAAACTAATTACACAGTTGGGTGAGAAATCGCGAGACGAAACTTTCAAACCTAATTAGTCCATAATTAGACACTAATTACTAAATACAAACGAAATTGCTACAGTACCAAAACCAAAAATTTTCTCCAACTAAACGCGCCCTCAGTGGAGTACGGCGGTATTATTGTTCACTCACAAAGTCACGTCATTTTCACATGACGAACACGAACACAAGAAAAATACGGAGCTCTCCAACGGTGCAGTGACAGTGGTGATAAATGAAGAGGAATAACAACTGAAAAGAAAGGACCTGACGCTGAAATGAAAGGGAAGTATCAGAAGCAGTAACAGGCCCAGGGAACGAGCACCGCTTATCTGAGGTGGTGTTTAGATAAGACGGTGTAAAGTTTTTTTTATCACATTGATGTTACATTGGTATTACATGGGATGTTTGGATATTAATAAAAAAATAAATTAAAAAATCCGTTAGTAAACTGTGAGATAAATTTATTAAGCCTAATTAATCCGCCATTAGCATATGTGTACTGTAGCACTTTATTGTCAAATCATGGACTAATTAGGCTTAAAAGATTCGTCTCGCAAAGTAGTTATAATCTATGCAATTAGTTATTTTTTTATCTATATTTAATACTCTATACATGTGTCTAAACATTCGATACGATATGGTGTAAAGTTTTGACGGAGGAACTAAACAAGGTCTGAATCAAGGAGTTGGTGCTGGATGGTCTAGCTAGTGGTTGGGACCGCCAGCCCAGGATTTAATTTGACCCGATCGTTGAGATGTATTATCCAGCTAGTGTTCGTGGTTAGTAGATCGGTGGGGTTAATAATTTATATATATATATATACTAGGAGCGTACCCAGCGTGTCGCTGTGGACATCACGAATGATTTTTAGTGGGTGACGTGGTTTGCTCAGGTGCATTTTTTAATAATGAAAAGAGTATCGGGCTTCACCTCAGTTGAAGAGGAATCAGACCAACTTATTACAACTTAACAACTCTGGGTAAACAAAGTTTTTATAAGAAAATCAACTCAAAATCCAATTCTAAATATAGAAGGTCATGCATTGAACGCAAAGAGTCTTATTGTCGCGTCTCTAAAGTTGCATTACAATTCGGTCCAGAATGCTTGTTGACCCTCACAACGTTGCATTACAATTTGGTCCAGAATCGAAGCCAATGGATCCCTTAGATAACACCTACAAGAGAATTGGATTGACAATCGTCAAAAACAACTTTGTTCCTTGTTATCCAGATTGACCATAAAATGGTCGCCGCACCAATCAGTAAGACTGATAGAAGATTCTTATTAGCTTTCCAAGAGTACCATACATTGATAAGTTTTGGGCATTTCGAGGTGGATTCATTTCTATCGCCATATGGATTGCTCTCCACAAAAACATGACACGTGAGCATTCAAAGAAAAGATGAGTTTGCTTAAAAACAACGGGACCTATCTCCATCCCAATTCCTCTTTGCCAAGTTTTCTCAGTGAGTTTATGTAAACTCCAAATAAAACTATCATTACCCTGTTGCAGGTTAATATTAGCCATCCTGCTACTAGGTGGTTCCATTCTAGTGCTTGTTTCCCACTTATGCCCTTCTACCATCAACATTAAGTGGACCTGATTTAATAAATCTTCAAACTTTGCTTCTTTCCTATGAACAACGTTGAATAAAGTTGGGTATTGGGATTTGAGCGGTTGGTTCCCTAACCAGGTATCTTCCTAAAACCTGATCTAGTTACCCTCCTTTAACCTGAAAGTTCCCAAAAACTCATGAAAGTTTCTTTTACACTCATGAGACTCATCCAAAAATGAGTCTCCTACTTTTTTCTCTACCTGTGACGAGTCTTATCTTTAATTTAATATATAGATAATGCTCCACCGTGGGCGTCCTTCCTGTGTCCGTCGGTCCGGACGCTCCTAGATGGGCCTGTGGACCGGCCCACAGGCCTGCTCCCATCACCACGGCAAACACGGTTTCCCCCCAAAAAAAGAAAAGAGAGCTACACTTTTCTCTGTTTCACATCGGCCGCCGCGTCATTCCCCACCTCTGACTGGCGCAGCTGCCCGACCGTCGCTCGCTCGTGGAGAGGCAGACCGCAACTGCCCGACCACCACTGCTGCCTCCACCACAGGGGCTAGACGCCAGGTCGGCGGCTAGGAAGACCTCCGCCTCCAACGCGCCACGGCCCAGCGTACGCACCCGCGTCCACTTCTCGCTCACGGCCATCACTGGGAGCACGCTGCCTGCTCGCCCTATCGTTAGGGACATCGCCGTTGCCACTCCAGCGCCTCCATCAGGGTGGCCTCCATCCGCTCCCTGTCCACCTCGTCGATTTACCGCAGTTCCCTACCAGGTAGGTCGTGGCCGCACGATGAATGCTTTGTTTCAGGCGTTTTAGAGTTTTGTTTTAAGTGTTTCATCTGGATGTTGCAAAAGTAGATCTGAATGTTGCATATGTTTTCAAGTGTTTCGAGCGTTTTAGACTTTTGTTTTAAGTGTTTCATCTGGATGTTGCAAAAGTAGATCTGGATGTTGCATATGTTGTAATGACAAAATATGCATGTTGCAAGTCTATGTTTCAAGTATTTCGTGTGTTTCGACGATATTGCAAATGTTTCATCCGGTTGTTTCAAAAGTAGATCTTGGTGTTGCACATGTTGCAAATGGCTATACACGCATTTTTCAATCGCATGTTTCAAGTGTTTCATTTATCTTCGGGACGTTTATGATGCGAATGTTTCATCCGGATGTTTCAAAAATAGATCAAGTGTTGCACATGCTAGTGGTATGTTGATGTGGTGAGATAGAATTCTAATGCAACAACTAATGGATTACAATGGCCATCAACATGTGTTCGAAGCTTGCCTTGCTCAAGTTGAAATATCTAAGTAGCGATGCTTGGTCAAGTTCAATTCCTTTTTTTTTTTCGAGCATGGTCAAGTTTAATTCCATGGGAGAGACAACACAAAGTATCAAAACAAAATTAGCAAAATAGGAATAGAAAAAAAAAAATCTACCAGGGATGACGACGTGAAGAGAAAAGCTTAGTTGTGAGGTGGGCTACACGCCAAGAATAAAGCAAGAGGAGACTTTTGGTTAGCTCGTGAGTCGTGACCTTGACTATCTTTATATAAACCAAAAAAAAAAAAAATCATACGGCGTACTAGTCTATTGGATGCAGATTTGATACGTCGCCATGACGACTTGGAATTGCTACGTAGTAGTACTTACCCCTACTTATATTACTTATATGCTACTAGTGGTGGCTGGACCGCTGTGGAGTGCCGTGAAAAAGGAGCGGTCGCTATGGCGCGGTTAAAAGCAACCGAGAAAGTGACGGCCCTGTACCGGATAGAGATTAGCCATTGGGTTCACGGTATGATTTCTCAACCTGTCCTTTTTTCTTATAGGATTTCTCAACCTTTCTTGCCAGCAGGAACCTGGGACTGGGAGTGCTAGCTTCAGGCTACAGTTTTTTTTTTTTTTTTGAGCAACCAGCTAGCTAGCCTAGAAATGGCAGTGAAACAATGCAAGTGTCCTGGGCCGTACATGGGCCAGCTCCACAGGCCTACGCGTTCATCTGATAATGGGCCGTGTAGAAAGCTCATCGAGTCATCTGTTATCACCACGCGTTTCGCAACAGAGGTAAGCCGATCAGTCAAGATCTGACTCTGACAAAAGTCTTTCCACCAATTAATTTTTTTGGAGATTAATTATAATTATTTAATAATGGATACAACTCGACGCATAAACATCAAAGAGTTTCTTCTGTGATAAAAGTTGACCTATACATTCAGGTTTATTTTATCAATAGTCTGCAGACTCTCCAAACTTGAGATGATGTGTAGTAGTGTGTTATTCTGACCACTACCGACGCTCCGTTCCAGTGTTCCACTTCCACCCTTCTCCCATGACCTTCAATCAAAGCTTGGACTCGATATTTCTTCCATGGGAACGTCTGGTAGGTAGGTTCAAATCTTCCCACTGTGGATCATCAATTCTGGAGAAATATTGTTCAACAGCCTCGTCATGCACTTGTTCCAACCTTGGAGGCATCCACTGCAAGTACTCCAAAAAAGACCACCAGAATACAAAGGTAATGTAAGACGATTAAGATGTCAGCACCAGATTCCGATCAATGTACTAAATACGAAACTATCCAAACCTTTGGGTTTCGATCTTTATCTATCAATATAGCCCTGCATCCCTGCAACAGGAATCGGATGTTAGGCATAGAGGCCTTGCCACGATGAGGTATAGAGATCTTGAATGAAAATAAACAGTGTCGAAGGTGTTGCTATTTACCTCAAAGAAGTCTCTGCTGAAGTCACCACGCATGACATGGCAAACCATTCTATATTCCCGCTGCAAGCACTCCCCAACAGTTTGTGTCCTCCCTTCTCTTATCTGAAAACCGAGTTAGAGAACAAAAAATGAAACAACTATAGTGGACACAACTGAGGCCCAGACTGTAGACTAATAGTACAAATATGATGTGGTTTCTGAGGGATACCGATCTCAGAGAGATTTTCAGACTGGTAGGAGAAGCCTTTTTCAAGGACTGGATTGTCGTAGCAACCCATTCATCTGCCAAATTTGCGGCCTCTAGTTCCTGACATAATATATATTAGTTTTGCAGGATAGAACAGGTGAATCCATAAACGCTGCATTTAACTGTAACAAACTGACAAGAGCGGATATAATTTCTTCAACTGTCCTTTTGGAAAAGCATTTGTTGATGATTTCCAACCTGGGGAGTGCCAGAGAATGAATTAGCAAAATTATGAATCAAGGCATGTTTCAGTCGTCCAATCAGAAACACTCTTACCTATTCAAAGAGCTGCTTTCTTTCAGTGATGGCTGTTGAGCAAATTGATCGATTATACCACACACAGCAAAGGTGTTGGAAGTATCCACCTTTTTAAGTGATTCTTCCAACAATAGCAGCCTCTGAGGAACAGAGTATTTACTAGGAGTTATTAGACTGATATAGCACATACGCAACCTTAACAATGCAGGCCAACAAAAACTGAAAGCATGAAAATGATATATCAATATGGTCAGGATTTCTGTAGCATGTTCCAAACAATAATAACCAAAGATGTGAAAGAAAACATCATAACTGAAAGCAAAAGCTGACAGCTATATTGATTGGTTTTTGTTCCAAGAATGTATAGAAAGGTTGTTTGGAGATGCACTTGGTCAAAAAAAAAAAAAATTAAGTCATATAAGTGAACCTACATTTGAATGGACAAAATGAGTTGCCAGACCACATGCAAGCATTTCCCCACCATCCAATCTGGCGCCAGCAAGAGCAACATACTCTCCTGGAGAAAAGAACATGAAAACAGTTTAGTGAACAATATCTCCTAAGATACCTCATGCAGTACAACTAATATAAGTTATAAGTGAGCCTACATTTGGTCACTCTTCATTTTTTTATATGATAATATCTCCACAACCTATATGATTATATCTCCACAATCACTATTGCACATGAAGGACAATTGCTAAAAAAAAAGATCATTTGCACATGAAGCACTATTGCTAAAAATCAATTAAGTACACTGTATTTTAAAAACTTCAAAGGAAAATTTGAGGGTGCATAATATTTCAGGACTGTGAAGATATCCAACGATACTGTATAGATGGAAATGACATGGCAATATGTACTTCGACTGGATATAAAGAAAAAGAAGAGACATAAGATAACCATAGAATCCAGGAAGCCGGGACAGAAAATATGAGGCCCCTATATCTGGAAAGAGACCCAGAGCTGTTTCTGGCATTGCAAAAACCTGCATGAATAGTTGAAATGTAAATGATATAGATTTTGGCACTTGAAAGTATCCTGAATTTCCAATAAAAACAAGAAAGATTCTCCATATTCCAAATGAGTTGAACTACTAGCACCAATCAAGCTCACAAAAAGGGTAGTTCATACCATAAGTCCATAACTGAAACCTATTCTCAAAAACATTCAGGCCTAATATCCACCATAAATGGCAGTGAAAAGTTGTGCTAGGTAATGACACAAATCCAGCATGTGGATGCATTATTCTTCAACCCTAAAGCAGCAATATGGGTATGTTTTGTTCAAAAGTTGTTACTTCTATCTTTTCAAGTTTTATTTATGACTTGTTCTGACAAATATATTGAAAGGCTAGCTTCTAGAACCCTCATGCAGTACAACTAAGAAAGCTAGCTTCTAGAACCATGTAACATTTTTGCACTGTCATGCAATACTAGCATATATTAAAAAAAAAGAGAGAGCACCTAGAATTACATCGTAAATTATATAAGAGGGTAAGCTCAAATAATATATCTCACTATCTCAGTCACAACACAATTACAGTATCTCACTTGGAAAGAACCACACTTGACACCCAATTCTAGATTGTTACAGCATGGGACAACATTCAGCAGTACTTAAAAAGCAGATCTCAAGATGTATCATGACAAGCAAACTTTTTTGTGCTTCCCAACTACAGTCCATCTTCAATAGATAAGTAAAAAGTAACAGCTTTAGTAAATTGCACTTGAGTTCGGTTTGTAGCATATACCGTGTTATCAGTGGCAACTCGAAACCTTCCATGTAAAGAAACACCAGCACCTCCACCCATGACAATTCCAGTAAGAAGAGAAACCTACAGTTAAATTGTTTAGCCTTTAGGGGCAAGGAACACAGAAGTGCATAATTACAATTAACCACTATGAAGGGATGAAGCTCACCTGAGGTTTGGTATAAGTTGCAATTATGTAATTCAACAAAAATTCATTTCGGAAGAAATCAGCACCATATTTCCAGCTGTCTGATTTAAGAATTAAACACATAGCGGAGTCAGCAAACAATGAGAAACAAAGTGAGGCACATATGCTACATGTAACATGGGTATTAAGTGAGGTAACAGAAGACGACGCGAAATATGTAAGAAATCAGCTTTGGATATTAGATATCGCAGAGACAAGGTAAAGCTGTAAGTACCTTTATGTATAGATCGGACAACTGCAGCAACATCACCTCCAGCACAAAATGCTCTTCTATTACCCTGAAAACAAGTGATGATCGTATACAATGACAAACAATCGGATCAACAGAAGGCATCAAGGCAATGATGCGATAGTGATAATCATATCAATCAAATAGAGCTAACAGAAGGAAATTAGAAACAAACTAAACTGAAGGGAAAAAAAAAACAGCAAGTTGAAGTAAGCTCTGTAGCAAGTTTTTTAGATAATGGAAGAGTAACATCTCAGCCTCCACATCAAGTGATGTTTTAGCAAGTGTGAAGGTATTCTATGAGGTGAACAGACTTAGATCAAACACAATACAAGCAGTTACATTGACAAATGCTGTTCCCTTCCTTTTGTAAGCCTTTGGATGGCAACAAACATCATTGGCACCTGATACACGCATCGAATTGGAATAAAGTGCTTCAGAACAGAATAACCACCTCAAACTCTCTATGTTATTGATTTTGAGAATAATTCTTGCAACTCATGTTCCAAATCACTGCCTTGCTACTTGGTAATTTCTACTGGAACAAACGCACACTAATAGATGGCACCCAGGGTGACCTCAATGTGCATGATCAGAAAACAAGACAGAGACATCTATAATCCAAGTTAGACCACATCAACGACAATAGAAACACAGTGGTATTAGATACCTTCATAATCAACAATTTAACTCCATTGTCTTTCTCATAAGCAGTGAAACACTTCAAGAGTCCCATAATCTGCCATATGAAAGAACAATCATCCTGCAACCACTATTCTAAAAGTAATTCTAGGTACTGTAATACTAGTGAACTCATAACATACCATGGCCGAGGAGAGCGCATTTAGCTGCTTTGGCCTATTCAAAATCAGTGTCCTTGTAAAGCCATTCGCTTCTACCAAAATCTGAAAAATAGAGGATATGAAAAAAAAATGCTTTCAGTTCTGGTTTAAACAACCATCAAATGGTTGCTATAGCAAATTAAGCTGAGCACAATTGTGCAATACAGAAAGCACAAATGATACGGATCACAGGAGCATATGTTCAACACTATGACATGACTGTGAACTGTTATTCGAACAAAATCCTGGATCATCATCACAATCACAAGTAACAGCTTCCAGAAACCTCATGAACTTGATTGGATCTCAGAATTGTATGCGCAGGACCAAAAAGAATCAATTAACGCCAGCATTACACTATGGACCACTCCTATCCTAAGACCGATTGAAGCAACGCATGGGTCAAGTTAGCCAAGGAGCATGCATCCTCAGACCGACACAACACTCGTGTGGTAAACGTAAAGCAATCAATCTAAATCAAATATTCTGGAACCGGCGAGAGAGCGAGCTACAGCAGCAGGGATCAGATGGAGTAGGTGGTGGTTCCTCCTCCGATCGGACGGTATAATCCGACAACCCGACCACCCGCCCTCCGATATGCGGGTACAGTCCAATAACCCAGACCGTGAAGTCTGATGCGCGCACGGCGAGAAGCAGCCGAGTGAACGAATTGGGGGAAGCAACAAAGTTAACGAATTGGGAACTCGCGTGTAGGAAAGGGACCTGATCAGAGTCGGCGCCCGCAGCGCTTGGGGGAGGCATCGAGGCCATCCGCTTCCGCGGACGGGCAAGCTGCTCGAGGACGACAATGGAGGGGGCTCTCGAATGGGACGGGTGCGAACTGCGAAGAGGAGGAAGACCTGAAAAGAGGGGAAGAAGGGGATCAAAGAGGGATTTTTTGGTGCGTGGACTATGATGGATACTAGGCTGCACAGCACAGACGAATGGTTGGGCCGCTGTTTCAGGCCTTTAGCCCAATTGCCAAAGCAACAAAGCTGCTGTCAACACTCGCAGTAAGTAGAGCGAGCAGTGGCCAGATGGATCGAACGGTAGTGCTATAGATTTTTTTTGACAACAGTAGTGCCATCGAAATTGTCACCATAGGGAAATTTGTAGTAACTCACGTTTCTTTCCGTCGGTGTTTCGTAAATCGGACTAGTAAATTTATACGATTGTCGTGCTGCTTTAGAAAGACGATGGTAGCATCTAATAGACACGAGGATTTATACTGGTTCAGGCCGGAGCCCTACGTCCAGTCTCAGAGATGATGGAGTGCATGTTCCTCGCTTGAATGCTCTGAAGTTCTTACAATAGGGGGTGCAAGAATGATGAAAGAGGTGGTGGAACCTATGCTAGGCGAGTGGCTATCCGAAGGGAAGCTCCAGGAGTCCTACTACAATGGTGAATGAATGGATTGGTAGAGAATGTGAACCGTGTTGTCCTGGCGGTCCTTATATAGAGTTCGGGGCTAGGGCTTGTACAAAGAGGAGGTTCTCCCGATCAAAGGGTCGAGAGCCTGAGGGAGGTCCTAGCTAACTTGGCTTGCAAGCTACGCCGTCTTCTTATGCACGTCAGGTCGTAGCTATCGCCATGGTCTTCGCCCACGCTATGGCAGGCGTGACGTGGTGCTACTTGTCTTGGCCGTGGCGGACCGTAGCCTCGTTAGTGGTTCGTCACCGCCCCAGTAACAACGCGGTGTCCGTCGTGACCTTCATCATGGTCTCCTGGCTCCCAGGGACGTCGTACCCAAAGTAGGTAGCTGCCCTGGGTCGTCGATCACTTGGTCGCTTTGCGGGGCCGAGGGCCACGACCTCGATCATTGGGGTAGGGCACTCTTCCTGTATGGATGTCCTTCTATCGAGCCCCTTGTCGTGGATCCCATCCCGTAGTGGGTGGGATCGTACAAGAGTCTAGTCGGTCCGCATTTGGACAGTGGGTAGCATACCTATTGCCACCATAGTGCGGTATAGTCTCGTTGGAGCGGCATGGCACAGGGATGGTGTCTGACCGGGCCGAGGTGACCGTTGTCCCCTCGATCCTTGTGGGGTCAGTCCGGCGTGCTTGCTCCTATCAGAGCAAGCACGTTTAGCTAGGCACGACCTCTCTCCACCCCTTCCGGGGGGTCGTGACGGAGGAGAGGTCGTGCGTCTTGTGGGCGCCATATGGCTAAGGTGGCTGGTAGGGGTCGTGGCTGACCCTAACCTTGGCGTGCTTGTCTTAGCTGGGCCTTGGTCGTTCGGGCTTTCGCTATCGGGTAAATTGTGGGCCTCGTAGCCTACCTACTACTCGGTGCCTTGAGACACCCCGATGTTACAACCCTGACAATAGTCCCTGAGCGTTTTTACGATCGTGAAAATGCTGGTGCGTGCGCGCGTTAGAGCGCGGGTTCGTAGTCGTGGCTTTTCTGAGCTTCGCCACTCGACCCCTTGCGGGCTTGGTGTATTTAGGATGGTGGTTGGACGTTGTGCCCGTCCCATCCTATCGAAGGGGTATATGGTTGCTGAGCCTTGCTATGTGAGCGTGCCGCTCATCAGGGTCCATGACCTAGGCGAGGCCGTGTGGTCTCGTCAACGCTGCATCGGTCCTGCCTTCGGGGAGGCTTCGATTTTTTCTGATCTTGTGCGAGCATCTGGTGTTGGTTGTGGCTTTCGCGGTTCTCTCTTGGGACTATAAATATTGGCCCTTCGCTTGAGCTATCCGTGATTGTGTTTGAGAACCTGTTCTGCTAGTTCTCTCAAGGTGCTTGTTCTTGAGAGAGGAGGGAGATGGAAGGGTAGGACAGAGAGACACATCGTGAGTTTCTGTTTTGAAGGTTTCTTGTGATGGCCGGGCGTTTGCGTCTGTCTACCTATCATCTGGTGCTAGGAGGGATCTTGCTATCTGGGCAGGACTGGGTGGCTTGGTCACTGGGACTGTAGCTTTGCGACCTCCTCGTTTTTCGGAGCGCACTGGCTTGGATGTGCGAGGTGGCCCTTACTGTGGGTGGTTCCACCAAGCCGTCCCTATCCTTGTGAGATGGCGGCAATGAAGCCGCTTCTCACCCTTTGTGTCCCGTGCTCTGGGAGCTGTGGCGCTAGATAGAGTTTTGCAGGGTGCTTCTCTCTGTCGTGTTTTATTGCGATGGAGGGGAGCGTCCCGTAAGCCCCTGTTCAGCGCCATTGCTCCTAGAGGTTACCATGCTGTGTGGCGCTGGCCGCGCTTGTTTCATTGGGAAGCGTAGAGAAGGTATGTTTGTGAAGCACCATGATTGCTCGCTAGGTTAGTTTGTAATTTCCTAGGCTTTGACCAGGATTGTTTCTTGATTTAAGTGAAAGTTTTGTTTGGGCATGGCGTCAGGGTTTTAGAGGTGTCGTCCTTGACCAAAGGTAGTCACCTCAATCCAACGCCACCGGGGTCGTGGTTCCCGTGGGATGCGTTGCCATCCAAATGAGAGTCGAGGGTTCGGGAGCGCTGGCGCCCTCCTTTTTGTTCCCTAATGCCCTTTGCGACCCGGGGGGTCATGATGCCTTTGTTGCAGGCATGTTTTTTAGTTTTGCCCCACGTGGGGAGAGGCATGTCCACTGTAACCACACGGTCGGAGTGGTGCGCCTTGTCGGGGTCGATGGGTAATCCGAGCTGGGCCCGATATCCTCCCCAATCGACATGGAGTTCGGCTGTGCCTCACGTGAGATGTCCCATTAATCGTCGGCCGTCAATCCCATTGGTTCCCAACCTCCTCCACAGTGGCCAGAGGGCAAGATACCTCCCCCCAGAGGGGGTCAACCCGGGAGACTTCGAAGCAGACGACTCGAACACAGAGAGAGATGGTCGTGTGGCTCCGCACCACCAATTAGAGCGACGGAGGGCCATCTCCTCCCTATCCCTATCCCTTTTGTGGCCTCGAGCCCTTCTAAGGACCGGCCTAGAGGTGGATTCCTAAGTACGACATCGGGTCGCGTCCATGACCCGGCTTCCCTACGCACGGGCTCGGGGGCTTTCGGGCCTCTTCCACCGGGGTTGTGATTTACCGGTCGTTCACTCGGCGCGTGATCGCGTGTGCGTTCTACGGTCATGATGATCGTGGGTCGCTCTGTGCGCGAATCCAGAGGGCGGTCAGTGTAACACCCTCGGTGTTACACCGTAAATTGTTACTAAAACATGTCACGAGCATCATATTTATGTGTTAATGCATGTGATAAAGTGTGTAGATCAATTTCTGTAACTCGAAACGATCAACTAGAATGCGAAACGAAAGTTGATTCGATAGTCATGTTATATTACTTAGGGTTTAAAACCAATTTTTATTAAGCAAAAATGCTATAGAACATATATGGGTCACCTTAATAAAGTTGGAAGTACAAACTTTGTAGATGACAGTGAAATACTTGCGGTCGAAAAATAATGTTACTAGCTGGTATTTCTAATAGTCTAGAAACGGAACTTGAAATCAAATTCAGCTCAAAAACAGAAAATTTCAAGTCTGCCAACAGTTAGACACTGCTATGTCTAGCAATTTATTGTGAGAGATTGGGTTAAGGAGTGGTGTAGTGTTATACCTCGATTTGGTAGTCTCATGTGCCATCTTGAGCATGGTGGAGACGGTTTAGGTTTAGGAGCAACCGTTTGGTCGTGTTGAGCGCTTTAAAATTCATGTGTAGCACGATTTCGGGCTGGTTGGCCATGTGGCCGTGATCACAGCGATCGAGCGCTCGATGTTGCCGCGTTGGTCACGCGTGTGCGTGCATGCGCTGCTGCGCACGGTCGGTCGTCGTCGCCTCTGGCTTGGCCAGGTCTCGGCTACCGTTGGTCCCGTCGCGCGGAGCCACCGCCGCTGCTGCTGACTGCTCTGCACGTGCCACGATGGAGCCGCTGCTAGTGCCATCAACTCGCTGTCACGTCTGCACTGCCGACCCGCCTTGCGTCGCGATGCTGTCGCTACCGATGTGTAACACCCCGGGTGTTATAAATACTACAACTACCATGTCATCATATGCATTGCAAAGCATTTGGTCATATTGAGAACTTTGATATGCATTCACTAAAACAAGTTTATATTTGTGTTATAAGTGTTGCCTTGTAGTGTTTGAATCATGTTCCAAGTTTTGTTTGGATTGGGATTTTCGAAAACCCTAATTTCGGCCTTTAAGTTTTGACCTGGAAAACCCATTTCAAAATCGAATCACATTTTGGGGTTGAGCCTTAAAGAAAAAATGTAGAGCTTGTTGAGTTGTACAAAGTTTATTTTTGGAGTTTTCAAAGTTGTTTAGAAAAATTTGGAGTAATTTGAAAATGCGTAATTCTTTAAATGTCCCCTTTTTGAATTCAAATTTGCATTTCAAAATGTAGACCGAATTTGGGTATGGTTATAAAAGCAAAGTTGTAGAACTTTTGATTTTGAACAACTTTTATTTTTGGAGATTTTTGAGTTGTTATACAAATTTGGGGGTAATTTGGAATTTTAAACAAATGGCAATTCTGTAATTACTGTGAACAGTGTTCACCGCCTAAGCTACATGGCCGGCGACCTTCTTCGGATTTCCAGTCGCACCTGTGGCCGCCCTTGGCTTCGCGCTGGCGCGGTGAAGGCTTCCGCGTGGCTTCCTTGAGCTTCTGAGCCACTCTATAAGGCCGAGACGCCGTCGCCGTCGTTCTTTTCTTCTTCTCTGTTTTTTCCCGTCACCACCGCTCAACTCCGGCGAGTCCGTGTCGTCGCCGTAGTGCCTCTCCAGCCTCAGTAAAGCTTTCTACAGCTCCGCTTGCTCCTTGCGCACTCAGCTGAACCATCCTTGACG